TGAGTTCGACATTAAAAGGTTTTGATAACTTTTACTATTTAGTAATAATAAATCCAGTTTTCGACGCGCTTTAATTTGGTATAAAGTTCATTAGGTATTCAACTTGAAATCATAGTGCTACCCCCCTAGCAAAAGGTTATGCACAACCCTGTACATGCATTCTTCGGCAGCAATAGTATTAAGTAGATTTTGTTGTTCTTGTTTTTGTCGTTGAATCTAAAGAAAAAGAATAATTTTCAGGTCGTTTTAATTTGAATTATACCTCTGTATCGACATTATCGATCATTGCAAGATAATTCTAAATAGAATTTAAAAATATATTTGAAGTTATCAGATATTTAAGAATTTATTACCAAAATATCACCATCTTCCATATTAACTAATGTATTCTCATCATTATCCGAATGAATATTTGTTGTTGCACTAGCAATATCTTCAACATTTTTTTCAATAACACTCGACTCCATATTAATTTGTTTATCATCATCATCATTATAGTCCCAATGAATATTTTTTGTTGCACTAGTAGCACCTTGAACATTTTTTTCAATAGAATTCGTTTCAATATTAACTTGTTTATCATCCGATGAAATATTTTTTATTTCACTAGCAACACATTGAATATTTTTTTCAATAGAATTAAATTCCATATTAACTTCTTTATAATCCGACGGAATATTTTTTATTCCACTAGCAACACCTTGAACATTTGCTGGTCGGTCAGCATCGTCAATATTCAATTGTGTTTTTTTATCACTATCTCGATGATTCTTCATCTTAATGTTTATTAAACTTATTCGATGTGTGTGTGTGCTAGTGATTTAACAAATGTTAAGAAATGAAAGTATTTATACTATGATAGGAAGAGGCGCATGGAGAAGAGAAGAGAAAAGAAAAAAGATGGACAGAAAAAAGATGGACAGAAAAAAGATGGACAGAAAAAAGAAACTACAGGAAAACACGACCGACCGGTATATCTTAATAGGGTACGAATATAATAGTCAATAAAGAAAAGAAATTCGAATGTTAAGAAAGAAAAAAAATTTTAAGTGATAAAGCCACCGAGATTCTTTAATAAGTTTATAAAATAACATTGAATTCTATAATCTAACTGATGGAATATCAATTCTATTATTATTTGCATGTATATTCGAAATACTTGGTACACAAGCATGTGTCATTTTTTTAAAACTTGCTTTTATTTAACTAACATCATGAAATTCAAGTAAAAGAAAGCAATAATTTTGAAATTGTGTAAGATGACCAGTCTAAAATACTACATTATTATCCAAATATTTATTAAAAAAGGATCTTATGCGATGTTGAGCTCGATCTCAAATAATATAATATATGTGAAATACGAAAAGCATCATCACCTGTAGCTAATAATGTATTCATTATTGACATTGTATTTATTCCATTATTAATATTATTTGTATTTGTTAAACTAATTAATTATTCTCCAACTAACAAAGATTTACTCCGATAGCTACAGCCAACGATCATTGAGTACTATGAATCAATAACGTCACTATATGTTTGATAAATACTTGCCAATCCTGTTCGGAAATTAGTTTAGTAGTCAATAGACAACAATTTGAAATTAGAAAAATTACAAAAGAAATA